AAATTGAGTTCTTCAAATCACAAACTCTGCGGAACTTGAAAACCTTACGCCACGAAAACTCTCACTTTAAACCAAATTCCTTGGCATTTTGAATAAATAAAATTGATTTCCTCAATTCACAAAGTTTTGGAGTATTTTAAACTGAATTTAAAAGAAAACTTAAAATTCTTGCTATTTTTGGATTACTTTAAACTCATGTGACGGTTACACACCTGGCCCAGTGTCGGATCCTTTGGTTACGGCGCCAACGGTGACGTCGCTCCTCCTGGTCGCTCCTCCTGGGTCCAAGCGTGCCGCTCCAACCCTTTGGTCAGATGATCACCAGCCTCGCCTTTCCCGACTCGCTTCCAATACCTGGTCACTAAAAGCAACTATACCGATCTCCGGTCTGTCTACCCACGCTGTGTTTAGATCTTAGACAGACAGGACCAGCAGGGATCAGGGGCCGATACAAGTTGAGTCCGACGGGGGTGGCAAAACACAAATAAAATAAAAACTCACGACACCAAACAAAATTGCTGATAAAAAGGGTAACAACCTTTTATATCTTAAAGTCCGTTACATAAAAACAAAAGTGTTCTCATTTCCCGACCCGTTCTGTGAACTATGGCACCAAGCTTCTATCACAAAAATAGCAAAAAAAAAAAAAAAAAATGTCGAACTACCTACTTTCTAGAATCATGTATGTATGTCGGCGTGTGGTTCAGTTCGACATTGGGCTAATTTCCATCGGTCGTTCGCAGTTGGTTCTTCTCTTCGACGTGAACTGTATTTCTTCTTCTTCGTTTGTTTAGACTGGTAGATTTCTTGTTTCAACCCAGTGGAAGATTTCTTGCTTCGATTCAGTGGAAGATTTCTTGCTTCGATTCAGTGGAAGATTTCTTGCTTCAATTCGGTGGAAGATTTCTTGCTTCAATTCGGTGGAAGATTTCTTGTCTTCAACTTGGGCTGGAAGATTTCTTGTCTTCAACTTGGGCTGGAAGGATTTCTTGTTTCGAGGATTCTTCTGTCGTCCGAGGGTGAACTGCAACTCACGCCCAACCTAACTCCAACTTCAACTCAACTTCAGCTCCAACTTCAGCTCCAACTTCAGCTCCAACTGATTTCTGCCGACTGGGGTCCTGCTTATATTGACGCCGCAACAAACCGGGGTGGGTCGGTCGGCGTCAGGGGTTTCTCGATAATTTCAAAAGCCGTATTAATTTTGACTTTCCATTATCGTTATTGTTTTCACCCCTACTTTCTCCCCAGTGCTCTTGGGGGGCGGCGCATATCTATTTCTCTTAGTCTCTCTCATGTCAGGTGATCGCTCTCAACCAATCGTTCCCGATCGAACCTTTCTTTCTCTTCTTTTCCGCAGCCCACGTGACCGCCTCGTCCAACAGTTATTGATCGAGGTTTTCTTTCCTTCTTCTTCCGCGGTCACGTGATTGTATTCGACCAATTGTTATTGACCGAACACCCTCTCCCTTTTGTTGGCGGGTGTGGTTACATCGTGCTGGTTTTAAAAAAAAAAAAATCCGATTTCGCACCTTTTTGCACGTACGCAAAATGACAATCCTTGCCCTCTCTCACCTGGACTTTGTCAAACAGCCCGCTGCTAATTAGTCTTGACTTTTAGAAAGGATCTTTTCCGCCTTCCTGGCGCCCTCCGTGGCCCAAAAACAATTGCTCTTCTTTTTTACCTCTTTGTTTTTCCTGATAGCCGAGAATCTTAATTATCTAGGTCGAAATATCTCTACTTTCTTAACGTGGGTGTCCAATTCTTAACAGGTCAATTCCGTATATCGTTTTCACCAGTCACTTCCCCAACCCAAAAGACACTTTCTCTCTGACTAAAGTAAAATTCATTTCTATTATTCTAATTTAAAAGTTACCTTTCGTTATTTTGATAAGAATTCTTCTACGAAAATGTCGGTCAGCGCTCGCGACCACCGATATCTCCAATTCTATTCTTTCAACAAAAATTAAGGTCAGTCAGAGGCTCTGACCGACATCTGGTCCACACCCAGCGGCCTGTTTTTGATATCATGTCTTTTCCTTTCTTTCCCCCTTTTGTTATTATCTTTCCTTTCTTCCTTTTTCCTTTTCTTTCTTTTTCCTTGCTTTAGGATCGTTTAGTACCTTCTTAGTGAATTATTTTCAACCCAGTTATTTTCCGTTTTAAAGAAAAAAAATTAACAACCTGTTTAATAAACTGAATAAGAAAAAAAATTAACTCATATTTCTATGAATATTTCCAATAAATGCAAGGTGCCATACTCAGTATAAATTAAGAACATTTAAACCACCAATTCTTCTTAGTTCTTCTAAAATGTGAATTTTTAACTGTTCCCTCCTCATCGGGACACTAAACCTAATTCTGGATATTTTATCACGTGAGCAGATTCTTAACCCCGTGTTCATCCTGATTCCAAAAATGTATAACATGTCCATTTAGAGAAAGTGTGTCCTGAATTAGAGGTATTTCAGACACACTGAGGACAGACAGAATTTGCTGTTTATTTGTGTAGTTTGAAGGTTATATAAATTGGTTAGTTTTTATATTATACATTGCTTTTAAATATTTGGTGGTTCTGTTGATTTTATATGATTTTTGTTTGTCATTATATATGAAATAACTAGAGTGATAGAGGATTTAATAATATCTTTCTTTGCTTCAGCTAATTATTCGGGGATTCAGATTCTAAGACGTCTTAAATAAAAATGGTTCTTCTATCAGCTGCGACCACATCACCCTTTATATCTGGCCACCTAACTTCCTAGACTGCAATCCCTTTGATTATTATATGTGAGGCACAGTTGAGCGAGAGACCAACAAAACTCTTTGTAACATCAAAGATGAACTGAAGGCAAGGACTATGGTAGCATTCAATGGAGATCGGCCAGAAGAGATGGAAGATATTTTCAAGGCAATGGTTGAAGCCAATAGCGATTTTGTTGAATAAATTTACTCTTTAGTATTCAAAGATATTTTTGTGTAATTTTGCTAAATATATCTATTAGAATGTATTTTTGCACCATTTAGACGACAATTTATGTGCCTGTGTCAGTCTGCCTCACACGCTCACTCACTCACACACACTCTCTCTCTCTCTCTTTTTATATATATATATATATATATATATATATATATATATATATATATATATATATATTTGTTGATAGATGTGAGTTTGTGACCCTGGGTTTCACGCTTTAGCGATCGTCAGACAAACTAAAGCGTGAAACCCAGGGTCACAAACTCACATCTATCCAACCAAATATGTTAGCTCTATCTCTGATATTGAGCGCTTTCTAATAAGTACCGCGCATATAATATATAAATAATTATACATATATATATTTATTTATATTTATATACACTTTTCACACACACATATATATATATATATATATATATATATAAACATATGTATGTGAGCACTAAGATAAATACAGATCGGTGACAGTCTGCTTAAGGATTGAGCGCAATCTAAAGGCCACTATGAAACAGACTGTCGTCGGTCGGTGTTGACTTCAGTGTCCACTTATATATTTACATTCGCTCTACCCATGCTGGGCTGTTGATCACATTTTCCCATAAATATAGCTTTCCTTAATATATATATATATATATATATATATACACTCCTAATTGCCTATATATGATGTTTCTGATTCGAATAATCAGCACATTAACTCAGAGGCTCCAAACTCTATCTAGATTTTATTGATTTTCCAGCAAAATGTGTGAAGGCAAGATCCTTAAAGATGCAGCCTTTGCTCAATCTTAGAGAATCTTAATATATTTCTTCTCTTCTGCTGGAGGCAATTCATATTTAAATAGGTTTGTTGAGGTCGAGGCGGAAATAAATCATCGGCATCCGACTTCGATAGGAAATATATTGGTCGTCCGCAATTATATATATAATTTTTATTGTACTTAAAATATTCTTAGTAAAATTCATTGTTTTGTCTTTAGTGGCTGTTGTTTTCGTAGATACGAGAATAACATCTTTCTTTTTTATTTTGAAAGAAGAAAATTATTGGAATTATTTGTTCGATATATTCACGTGTGTCTGAATAATTTACTCATGTACTACTGGGACTCACTGTTCGATTTATCTCTGATAATCTATACCCAATTATTTGTGTATTTATCTATCAATTCATATGAAATCAATTAACTATTTTTTATACAGTGTTGTTAAACAATTATAATTTTAGAAAGAAGGCACTTATTTATTCAGAAAGGATTCCAGTCTGTAAAGATCTAAGATTTTTTTCTTGCCTTGAAAAGAAAGAAGACATTTTGATGCTTTATCTAAAAAGTGACAAGAAGAAATTCTATTTCCCAAACTATCAATTCTTTTAAATCTTAATTTGCAAAATTCTTGGAATTTGAAGACATTTCCTTGAAACTTAGAAATAAAATACAAAATAATAATATTAATTTATCCAAGTAGCTTAAATGAAACGTTGTTATTCTTGTTCTTTTATGTGCTGTACCTCCAGAACGAAGGCGATTTGGGACCGCCACAATTTCCTATTCTTTGTAGCTCTAAGCAATGTCTGTTTGTTCTTTCCCTTCTCCTCAGTCCTGTTCTATCATCCATTTATACAAGTTCCTAAAGTAGGTCACTCGCTATGTCGGTGTTGCTTTCAATACGTCATATCAAATTCTCTAAGCCCCCTTTCTTCATTAAATGACCTTCAACTCTCAGTCTTTGATTCTAAGTAAAAGTAGGTCGCCTTTTTTAAAGTGTTACCCTATTCTTTAAAACTTCTGAGTTGCTCACACGTTTTCTCTATGGTGTTCTCAGCATCCTATTTATAAGAAACAAGTTTCTGATACCTCAAGTTTAGTCTTCATCTATAAAGATATTTTCAGCCATCCACTCCCATATAGGAGAGATAATACTGTATTGCAGGTTAGAACCATTTTCATTTTTTCTAACGAATTTTTCCGATTTCTTAATTCTTAGTTTAGGTTTCGGAAGACATCATTCGCTATTCCAATGTCCATTTGGATTTCTGGTATATCTATCTATCTATCTATCTATCTATCTATCATTAGAAGCCATAATATTTTTAATTGCAGACAAGCCAAATATAATTTTCGTGAAATGTATCTCTATATGAATGACTTTCATGGTGAGATATAAAAATGAACCAAAAGAGTGAGATGAAAAACAAAACAATTACAAATAATTTCCATTTGCTTTAAACGTCAAAGTTAAAATGGATGAAAAATGAAACAAACGAAGTCTGTGTCGATTCATTTGTAAGAAGAAAAAAATTTCAATTTGTATTTCTCATTATAAAATTTAGCGCATGTTGGAATAAATTGCTTTCAGATGCTTAAAAAACAACCTTTTTGAGCTGATAGACATAAATGTCAGCGTGTGAAACAGAAACATTACTTTCTTGTAAAAAAAATGTGTGTCATTTTTTATAAAATAATTGATGCATGGGCGAGAATGTGTCGAGTTGGCTCAACGATCTGGAAAATGGTTTTGGCGAACCGGGTTCAAATTATGGCTGAAGCATATTCATGTTCATTTTGGGTTAACGTTCTTGAGAAAATGCAGAAAAACATTTCTAAACGTCAGTTTAAGGATTATTCTTTGTTGCTGGTTCAATTGCAGCCATACTTTCGTTCCGGAGTAATATATCGAATGGAGACAAAATGGCTTCATCGAAATTGCAAAAAGGTCGAATTTTTAAAAACTATTTCAGAGAACGTTCTTATTCTGAACAAATATTGCCACGAGTCTGAAACAGTGGATTGTATATATATATATATATATATATATATATATATATATATATATATATATATATATATATATATATACAGGATGTCCTAAAAAATGACTTCATTTCGCAGGCCAATAATTTGGCAATTCTTGTTGAAATAACCTCAAATTTTCACAGAATGTTTAGAAAGAGATCAAGATTTTATAATTAATGTTTTATTTTGTTATCTCAATGAAGATCTGATAGATAGATGGATCGGGCGTGGTGAAGATGATTGCAGTTTTCTGATAAAATGGCCGCCGCGGTTACCGCACTTGTCCCCGTATGATTTCTTTTTATGGAAATATGTGAAGGGATTGGTCTAAGTCACCTTTTTCCTGCCAGCATTGATGAACTCAATCAGAGAATCATTTACGAACTGGATAATGTTACGGGAAACATGCTACAGCGTGTTTGGCAAGAGCTTAACTACCGACTTGACATGTGCCGTGTCACAGGCGGTGCAGATATTGAACACTTATGAAATCGGTCCCATAATAAAGATATGATGTTCAACACCTAAAATGTTCAAATTCATAGACCTAGAGTAGAATGTGGTAGAAATTAGGAGGATATGAGATAATATTTAATTCATCGAGCCTAGAAGAAATCGTAACAGAATGCACTGGACGTTTTGTTTTATATTTGGGACTCGTCAGCAGTGCGCATCCACATCCAAGAATTGAAACCCGGATCGTTATAATACGAGTCAAACGTCATACCAACTGTATCAATGGTCCTCGTTGGCGAAGAGGTAACGAATCGGACTCGATATAGCGCTGCTCGATCACATATTCGTGGTGGAACTCATCCAAGTTTCCCTTACCCATAGGACTGTGCCCCCATGAGCCACGAATACTACCACTAAGCCTTTCTAACTGGACCATATATATATATATATATATATATATATATATATATATATATATATATATATATACTAAAATAAATCCTAAAATGCCAGGAAAACCTACCTATGTTTCACTAAACATATATATATATATATATATATATATATATATATATATATATATATATATATATATATATAATGTTTGTGTGTTTAAGACGTAGTTTGAATTGTGGTATTATATATTCTGAGCTTCGTGAGTTGAATTAGATTTGGTCTCTTTTTTTTTTAAAACTTTCAAGACAATTTCCGCTGCTGAATAAGGTAAGATTTTACTATTCAAGCAGCACAAAAACTTCATCCTAAACAGTCAATCATGAAAAGACATTTTCAACACTTAAAAGAACCCACCAAAATGGCTAAAGAAGTCTCCGAAAGTGCTTCGGTCGGTGGACAATACGGATAATTTTGGCATTCTATTACTCCCACCAAAGAGAAATGTAAAAATGTTGTAAAACCCAATAGAAAATTTCAAATTTCCTTTGACTGTCATAAGCAACTACATATTAAAAAAATTAGGAGATCAGTCGATTTCGCTGCTTTGGTTTCAACCTTCCGGTATCGTCAGGTTGGTTGTATCGATTGTTTTCCCAACACTTGAAACCAAGGCAGCGGAATCGACTGAACTCCTAATTTTATTAAATTTAAAAGCTCTATGTTAAATTTTTATTTTTCATACGTGTACTGAGCACTTTTTAATACTACTGTTTCCTGGTCAAATCCAACTCTGATCATTAACCTTTTCAGCATTATATATATATATATATATATATATATATATATATATATATATATATATATATTGATGCATGTTTCATTAAATAATATAAACAAGTTTTGTCTGTTTATTTTAAGTAAGTTCCTTTCATATTGTCTGATAAGCTTAATAACATTATCATTGAAAGACGAAAGGAAATCACCATATTGATACATGTTTTAATCCTATCTAAGCTTTCGGCTTACTTAAGCCATTATCAAAGATGACAATTACATTTCAATATATCGAACAATACACGGACAAAGCAATAGTGATTTTTTGTTGCATGAAAAATTTCAAAGCAACGAGAAATTCGTGTATACGTGACGCGGAAGCGAAAATCGCATCGCAGCTCGTGACGTCACACATGACCATGCGGGGTGTGGTGATTTCCTTTCGTCATTCAATGATAATGTTATTAAGCTTATCAGACAATATGAAAATAAATAGATAAATATATAGATAAAACTTTTCTATATTATTTAATGAAAAATTGCTGCCTAAATACACACACACAATATATATATATATATATATATATATATATATATATATATATATATGTATTTCTGAGATGAGGTATTATGTACATTATTTACATTATTCGGTCTATTGTCCTCATCTTTGTCACCATATTTATTACAACGTTTCCTCAAGGACACATGGCACAGTGGATAAAGGCGTTGGTTAGATCCAGTGACAGGACCCAAAGAGTGTGAGTTCAGTACCCGGTTAAGGCAGTGGAGAACTTTCAGAGGGAAAATTAACAGGAGATAACTGATAACTGACATCTATCAAACGTGGCACTTGGAACTAGAACAGTCTACTCTAGAGAGCGAAATAAAGGGTTCAGTTCGACATTCCAACCATCTGAAGAAGGCTGGAGCGTACAACGGGCGAAACGTTGTAATAAATATGGCGACAAAGATGAGGACAATAGTCCGAATAATATATATATTATTCGTCATCGATGACTTTCAAACAGTTCCGTCTACCCAATTTCACTCACAGGTTTTCAGTTGCCGTACGCAAATCTTGATGATCGGCTTTCCTGCTAAATCGATTATAGTGTGATTCGAACCCTGGTGTCATGACCAGAAATTGAACCTTCCAACAACTTGGCCACGTACACACACACACATATATATATATATATATATATATATATATATATATATATAAAGTATATGATTGGTGTATACGGAATGAATTCCAATAACCAACAATTACTATTCTTAAAAGAGTGCTCAATACAAAGTAGAGCAGATATAATTATTTATTTAAAAAAAAATTATAACATAAATATGTTATAAAATCACTACAAAATAGCCATTTTGTTTCAACACCACTGGTATCTTATCAAGTGATGATGTTGAATGTAAAATAAATGGTTTTAAAAGTTTCAAATTAATTAACAATCCTCACAAAGGGAAACCGTTGTTACAAAAGCTAGATTGACCAATCAAAATACAAGTATAGGAAAATTCAAAAAGCTTGACAACGAACTCATGTTATAATAACTATTCAGATCTTTAAAATATGGGTAATATTAAAAAAGAATTTATTCTAACCAATAATTTTAATATTAAATTTTATCATATAATTTAGTAATTATTGGTTAGAATAAATTTATGTTATGTCATAATTTTTAAAAAATAAATAATTACATATATATATATGTATATATATGTGTGTGTCTATGCACGTGCGTGCATGTGTGTTTGCGCAAGCCTCTGTGTGTATTTAATTAAAAATGATTAACGCGGTACTTTTATTATTATTTTTTTAATTCTTTTACGCGAGTAAAGATTTTAAAGAGTGTAGAAATTTTTATATTCGCTTTCGGTTAATTGGTTAACGATTTCCAAGATTTTCGGTTGTGATGTTGTAAGTGGTGTATAATTTGTCGAAAGGTAGACATATTCTTTCTTTTAGGGATTTCGTCTTCTCAAGTTGTAATAAATTTCTCTAATCCGTTTCCCAATATGAGTAGCGTAAGTCAACCACCTGTCTCCTGTCCACTATCGTAGTCGCACCGGTGTCTATCGAACACAATTTTTATAGATTGAGTGACAGTTCAAATTTGCATAGATTGAAAGAGATTCGTCCGAAAGACTATCCGACTCCGTGATATAGTGATTCTCTAAGCGCGGCTTAGATGTGGCACAAGGCCGAAAGTATGGGGATCGTACTCACTACTCAGTCCTAACTGATCTAGCAAGACAAGCTTTCTATTACACAACGTCGAGGTGCCTTTAGACTCTGTGATATATCTGTTTTAAATATACAACTCGTAAAGCCGCCATTTTCGTTTTGGGAATATTTTACATGCCAGACACGTTCGAATCTTTTCTCGTTCCGGAGGTAAGCCATTTTCACTAGTGTTGCAGCTCGTTCTTGATAAGCTTTTACTTTTAAACTTTTCCTTACTTGGTAGTGCAGAAAGTTAACAGTCTGAACATAAAAATATTTTCTCTTCTAGTTACATGTGTTATACATTTTCGTTGTTGCTGCTGTTGGATGTGTTCAAGTCATGTGATTTTTGCTATTTCGTAAATCTCTCTGTGATTCTGTAGCGGCAAGGTCACTTAAGTATTTCATGAAAAATAAACACCGTCCTTGGTATGACGATAAACTACATCCGGCAGCAAGGCCTCTGATCAGGAGGTTTTGAGGAGCGTGGAAACACCTCTTAACTGCTGTAGTTCCCAGGTCCACCCTGACCTGGGGTGGTAGCACTTGTTAGGGGGGTCCTAGTTATGGGCAAATTGTTAACCCGCAAAATGGGGTCAAAACACTATGAAAGTGTAAAAATAGGCTTTTATGGTAAAATACCAGTAATAAATTAAAAAAAACAGTTCCCAGACTCTCGACAAAAACCCTCTTTACAAAAAAAAAAAAATCAAGGAAACCTAACCTGCAAACTGATTTCTTACAAAAAGTAAATATTTTATTCATACAAACCTATCCTAAAAATCTTGTCGGCATTAAATAACCTTTTGAGGTGTTGATATGCCGTAAAAAAATAAACCAAACCAAACTGAAAAACAGCCCAAAGTGAAGTCGCTATCATTTATGATATCTGGTAAAGGTCTTTTTGATTCTGCAGTGCCAGTCTATAGTTACTTTGAACTTATGTCTACCTAACTACTAATTCATTGCGATTTTTGTCCTATAAGAATTATATTCTATGATTAGATAACTCAACAAGGATTGATATCAGGTTAAATTAATCTATTGTAATTAAATCATCGCATGAAGGTCAGCCTAAAATTATGTCGCCAAATTTAAGGACGGGGCAGAAATTCTTTCAGAACGTGAACTTGTTCGGGTATTCTACTTATTACAGAAATAAAATTCTGAAATGAATATAGAGATGCAAAAAAAAAAAAAAAAAAAATGGATGCATTGCATAAAAAAATAACCCCAACAATGGAAGTATTAGTAAACCAAACGATATTCCTACGTTCATTTGCCTCCTTTTTTCCTCTTGGGATTAGTATATCGAACAGAGACAGAACGACGCCGTCGAGATCACAAATGGTCGCTTAAAGAAAAAAAAAACTATTTCAAAGAATATTTTTGTCAAAGTATACACTAACGCATATAAAAGTATGAACGCGTTTTATTATTTGTTTCAGATTTAGATAAAAATTCAGATTAAATCATACTAAAATATTAATCCATCTTTATGCCTATGCATATCCTGCTCCGACATATCTGCACATGTACAACTGCATATTCACGTGGAAATCTAAAATAAATGTGCATCAATTCGAGTATATTTTCACTCGGGCATTTATAGTACACGCTATATTATTTCGCTAGGACACAGCTAAATCTTTAAATTTTATAATAAATTTAAGAACGTTTAAAAGTAATTTCTCCGTCGATTTTGGACTGATTTTTCCTATTACCCCCTTTTTTAGTTTTTTAATGTTCTTTGTCTGTAGCCAGCTTTGAAGTTAAGAGTTTTGTTTTCTGAAATAGGTTCACGAATTCAAAAATAAGTCAAATAAACATTATTTTAAAGAACAGAAGATTTATCCTTCATCCAAAGGCTAATATCCTCTCTTTGAAATCTGTAGTCATTCTTTTGTGAAATTTCTATTGCACATTTAGAAATACATCAAATGTCGTAATATTATCGAATTTTGTTATCATTAGACGAAACATTGTCAAATATTACTCTCTTGTGATTTGTATTTAGTTCATCATAATTTCAGTGAATTTTTATCGCAGTTATCCGGACTGTCATTCTACAGCTATTAACGAAAATGGCGGATCGCAAATAAACTCTCGACACCCATTTTGACACAGGAAATCTATCTTATCGTGCTAACACCTGAGTTACGTGAGTGCAGAGGATCAAATTTAACTATTGATATTTATTCATGATATTCTCTAAACGCTTGGGACTGTCGTTATTTTATGTTTTCTTGATATATCTATTAGTAATATTATTTGAATTTTGTTCTTATTAAATAAAACACCGTAAATCATTATAGATTTTGGAGAAGAATTAGTTTGGATAAGTATTATTGAGCCGTAGCTATAGGACGCAACTGAAATTAAAATAAAATAAATCTTCCGTGTACCGGGTCATATCAGAAGATGGTTCATCATGGCTCTCCACAACTTCCCTCTGGCCGTGAGCAGTGGTTCTACATTTAGCAAGCCACCCAGTTCCACCATTCATTCTCACAAACCCGTCAGGTAGGTGTCTTGTTGGCTTTCCCCGTCTCTCTGACTCTCAATAGGTAGGTGTCTAGCTGCCTTCGACTGTCTCTCTTGCTCTCAATAGGTAGGTGTCTACGTGCCTACCCCAGTCTCTCTTGATCTCAATAGGTAGGTTTCTCGCTGCCTTACCTCGTGTCTCTTGCTCTCAATAGGTGGGTGTCTAGCTGCCTTCGTCTGTCTCTCTTGCTCTCAATAAGTAGGAGTCTCGCTGCCTTCGTCTGTCTCTCTTGCTCTCAGTATGTAGGTGACTAACTGCCTTCCACTGTCTCTCTTGCTTTGAATAAATAGATGTCTAGCTGCCTTCCGCTGTCGCTCTTACTCTCAATAGGTATGTCTAGCTGACTTCTGTCTCCTCGTTGCTCTCAATAGGTAGGTGTCTAGCTGCCTTCGCCTGTTTCTCTTCATCTCAATAGGTAGGTGTCTCGCTGCCTTTCCCTGTTTCACTTGCTCTCAATACGCCCCGTGAAGCTTAAGTTTTCCAAGTCATCCTTCCTCTTTATATGTCCAAGATATTTCTTGTCTGTTTTGATTCTGAGTATAAGTGTGCTTTTTGTTGCCATCCTTTTAAAGTTTTGTTTACTCACTCTGTCCATGGAATCACATTTCGGTTTCCTCCAATTTTCTCTGTAGGGAGATTGTCCAGGATTCCTTTTGTGTAAATAGATAGCAGATCAGTAAGGGTTGGTAAAAAGACAAAGCTTACTAATATTTACAAAAGACAAGAAGATTTAGGGAGACATGATGACCCAATCCCAAAAGGGAGATGGTGCATAAAAAGATTTTATTTTTTCTGTCTGAACTTCTTCAACCATTTGATCTTGACTAGAAATACAAGTGAAAATTTTATGCTTTTCCTACTTGAATTTGCCGATGAATCTTAATTCTTAATGATTGTGTAAGCTCATAGCGAGTTCTACGACAATAAAATTCTGTAGATATTCCCCTATCGCATCATGAAATATTTGAGCTTAACAACTTTAACAATATATTGCAATAACAATCATGAAGAGATCTGAAATTGAAAATTTTTTCCATTTCACTGAAACATACTTTGAACATTTTTATCTGACACGTCTACCCAAAAATAATAACCTGTCTGGTAACAAAAGCTGCTGGTGGCGACATGGGTGGCAGTGCCACCTTGGCAACCGAAACTGTGTTACATCATCTACTTGGCCGCTGACGTGGGAAAAGGTATAGCACGTGCTTTCACAAGTTGTATGTAGAAAAACATTTCTTTCTTTCTTTAACCAAGTGGCGTCTGATGTTTGATATGTCTTTCTATACAAACAAAATGGAATAGTTCATTATTTAGGAGGTATTGGCAGGAGATGTTAAACACTTCTATATACCATTCTTTCTTTCTTTCTTTCTTTCTTTATTTCTTTCTTGAACCAAGTAGCGTCTTTGATATGTCTTTCTATAAGCAGAATGTCCATTATTTATGAGTTATTGGCTTAGACATTAAACACTTATTTCTTTCTTTCGTGAACCAAGTGGCGTCTTTGATATGTCTTTTTATACAAACAAAATGGAATAGTCTATTATTTATGAGGTTTTGGCAGGCGACATTAAATACTTCTATATTTATTTTTTTCTTTCATTCTTTCTTTCATTTTCTTACTGAAACCAAGTAGCATCTCTTCCGTCTTTTCGGTCTGTCAAAAACGGGATAGTTATTTGTGAGGTATTGGCAGGGTGTAATGGTCGTGCGAACTATCGAAGGGAGGGACAAGCAGAGTTATATAAGGATATTTACTATGATTAGTCTTGCAGGATGGCAATTCGGTCCAAATAGGGAATAGAAAGACGATATCATGCCTTTCATTCAAATGGTGAGGGCTTAGAAAATCAGCATTCGACATCCAGTTACCTGATTTGGGTACTGTTGAAAAATCAATGACGTTTTAAATCAAGGTGCAAGTTATTTCATCTCTTTATTTAAACCTTTCCACAGATTCTGTTAACAATCGTTCTCTCTCTCCGTCAATACCTTTCATCCTTTATTTTTCCCTTTTCTTAGCTTCCATCTTGAAATCTTCCCCTCCAGCCGTTTCTCGTTGGTTTGTTCGTCCCATTCTTGCTTCTCTTTGTGCCTGTGTTTTTTTTGTCCTTGACCCTTATCGTTCTTTTTTTTATCGTTTCATCTGTCCATTCGTCCTCTCTTTTCTTTTTTACTTTCTTCTTTGGTCTCTCATCTTTGCGGTCAGATGCTTCTCAACATTTGCGATATTGCGAGACATTCGGGTGCTGTCTGTTATCTCCAATTCACCAGTGGGGTTTCTCTTATCTCAGCGTTCATATTTTCTTCAGAGATTGACTCTCAGCTAAAAACAGAAAGTTTAACACGGAAGATAAGTTATGCTACAAGAGAATATGAACGAGAGAAAGAAAGAGAGAAAGACAAGCGATAGAAAGAGAGATCATGATATATATATATATATGAAAAATATATATGTAAAACGACAATATCAATAAAGAGAAAAGGTAAATCAACTTTTCTTTATCGATGCGTTTCGTCCTTATTTAGCTTGATAAATTCAATGAAAGGAGGAAACTTGTTGGTTTTCCTTTTGTTTTTTAATATACAGTGTAACCCGGATATAAGAGACCCGGATATAAGAGAAACCCGGATATAAGAGACCTCGGTCCCAAATTAGGCCTGTGTTAATGTATATAAAATAGACCAAACTCCCCGGATATAAGAGACTTCTTCTCCGGTCCCGACAACTCTCTTATATCCGGGTTACACTGTAATATATATATATATATATATATATAGCCCTGTTCCTTATCTATGTGTCATTCTCTCTCTCTCTATATATATCTGTCATTCTCATTTTTTCTCCCTCTCTCTCTATATATATATATATAGAGAGAGAGAGACAGAAAAGAAATGACAGATAGATAGATGAAACCGGCCTATATATATATATATATATATATATATATATATATATATATAGAGAGAGAGAGAGAGTATGAAAGAGACAAACAGAGTGAGGGAAAGATAGATAGATGATTATATCGATAGATACAGAAAGGCGTAAGATTCCGGATAGAATTTTACTTGTACATGGCATAATCACACACATATATATATATTTATATATATATATATATATATATTTATATATATTGGCTCTTATAAATACCGTTAAAGAAATATTCGGTGCCGGATGGCGCATATTTTAACGCACTTTTGCAGTGGGGACTAATACATATTTTATTCACAAGCCAATTCGGAAATTTTATTTAATAATTTCTTAACCCATTTTTGTTTTCTGTAAATAATCTTAATACATATCTTTAGTAAAGTCATAAATCCATTTTTTCTACACTCAACTATGAATTAAACAGCGACGTCCACAATTATCAGTCACCCGGGTAGGTGAACAGAGTCTAGGAGGAATAAAAATTTTGATTTCCAAATCGTGGGGAAGGCAATAAAAAAAAACCTTTCCGCTTCAGCACCTTTCCAAAGAATGTACAAATATCCACAGATACGAAAGAAAAGGAATGTGTGGCGAACCATGACAATGAAGGGGGGGGGACTACACAATAAACGAACCATGACAATGAAGAGGGGGACTACATAATAAACGAACCAAATGAAGAGGGGTGGACTACACAATAAACGAACCATGTCAATGAAGAGGTGGGGGACTACATAATAAACGAACCAAACAATGAAGAGGGGGGACTACATAATAAACGAACCATGACAATGAAGAGGGCGGACTACACAATAAAAACGGAACCATGACAATGAAGAGGGGGGGACTACATAATAAACGAACCATGACAATGAAGAGGGGCGGACTACACAATAAACGAACCATGACAATGAAGAGGTGGGGGACTACATAATAAACGAACCATAACAATGAAGAGGGGTACACAATAAACGAACCATGACAATGAAGAGGTGGGGACTCACAATAAACGAACCATGACAATGAAGGGGGGACTACACAATAAACGAAAATGAAGAGGGGGGGGCTACACAATAAACGAAACAAAATGGTATTAGGTCTCAAGTGAAATTCTTACAGATGAATAAATCATTACAGAACGTATCCTTAAATGTGAGATAATTACGCAAGTACATTTACTAAATATTGCAAATATGATTCTTGGTATAGCAGTATCGGTAAACCTGTGACCCTTTTTTAAAAACTACCGTCAAGTTGCATTTTGGGGTGCCTTGAAACTGTATATATATATATTTCTAGAAAGAAAGAAACAAAAGAAAAGAAACGGAAGATAGAAGAAGTGATAACTCCTTTGTTCGTTCAAAATCTGCTCCAGTTAAATTGTACAGTTATATGAAATATGCCAACCCGATATGATTCGTTTCAGTAACAAAAATTAGTAAAATCTGTGAAATATCTATGGGTCCCACTCTACAGGATTAAAAATAATGGATGTCATTAAAATTTATTTGATAAATTATTATAATGTGGTACATATTATATGACGGTATTGGTATTTTCTTTTAATCATTTCACCCTAAGAAAGGTGATAATGCGACTAAAACGCAAGGGGATTACTGAAAGTGAAAGAGAATGAACGGGATAACCAATCCTAAAGATGAAATGGGATACACCTCTACTCTTGTTCAAAAGACGAGGAATGAGTGTGAAACGGGCGATAGGCGAACCTATCTACTCCCATTAAATGAATTATTTATTTAATGAATACTTGCAATTGATCTTTTTAAATGTAATGGCATTGTGTTAGCAGTAGAGAGACGGCTTGCGGCTCGGACTGAAGAATCGGGGAGCAGAGTTCAATTTTCAGTCGAGTCATTCCATTCACTTACGTGCTAATACCCATGGAAAAGGTGTGAATACATTTCTTCTCTCCTCCAGATATGGATAAATAGCAGGGCTGACTGGGTTCTATAACATTAGGTGGCAACCGGTCTAGGAGGAAAAAAATCTGAATTCAAAACTGCATGTTGATCTGGCGAAGCATTCAGCTAAGGAAAGGATGATCCTGATTACGGAGAATATCTCTTAAAATGATGATATGTGAGCAAAGATAAGACAATCATTATCATTTTTTTAAAATTAAAAAAAATCGGCCTGTCATAAATGATAATAGATACAGCAGCCCTACTCCCTGCTGCAATTATTGAGCGAAACATCTTACTCATGTTTTCCTAGTTCATTTCTTACAATTTACTCCTGACAAGACTGAGTCGATGTCTGAAGATAGGCAAATATATTTCACATTGATCTTGAGTCAGCTTTTAGCTCAATTTTAACTTTCATTTGCGCGTGTACAGTCCCTAGTGTCAATTTTGAAGTGACTTATTTACTGATATGTGTTAAATATCAATTGAATTAATCAGTTGCACTGAATGATAGCAGCCTGACAGGAAATCATAATTATGTCGATACAAAAGAACTCACAAGAGAAAGACCTCGCTAAAAGGAAAGAAAAACTTATTGCCTACTTGAATAAATCAACCATATATTCTAGTGGTCCGAATTCAATTCAAGCACCGCACTGACCTTAAGAATTCAACAGAAAACATTAGAGAGACGATAGTAACATAAAAAGAGCCAGCATTTATTTTCTTTAGACCTAGAAACCAATAAGATTAGAGACACGCGATAAAATAGCTCAGGCAAAATTAGTGTTTATACTTCCTGGCGACATGACTATCATAGGGGCGGTCTTTGTCTCGGAACTGTAGTGTTAATTCGGGCATGGGTGCTTATTTCCGTTGTATGAATAAAGCTCGTGTAGGAAGGTAAGAATTCACACCGCCTGTGCTCTTTTCCAAAAGCTGATAACTTGGCAAACCATTCCCACATAACTAGTTTATCTGTTTAGTTTGAAGACATAGAAAAGTCATTACCAGTTTTTTTTTCCTTTAACAAGGATCAGGCAAGATTATATATACACACATATATAGTGATTGCCACATCTTACAGTCCCAACATTCCTCGCAACATTTGCAATGGCTTCCGTCTCGTTCCGGTATCCATGGAGCCTAAGATGACACTTGAGATCAGCATCTGATATCATAGGTGTCAGTTATGTATGACAGTATACAGACTCTGTATCATTGATTTGGTTGATTGAATCTGCATGTGCTATACATCTGTGTGCCACAATGTGACTCTCCAATTCAGACGATGACGTGCAAACCTTGTTGCAAACAACACAGATACTGTCGGCAGGAGCATGGGGAAAGTTGGCATAGTTGGCTTGTTTCTGGTTGTTATCATGACCTTTCAGATTGTTTACATAACCCGCCCACGACAACAGCGTGCGCTCACACACATCACATTAACAAGGCTGCATATTATTTTGAATATCAAAATTATTACGCACGCAAACTCATACACATATATATGCAAATATACATATATATTTGTAAAAATTTCAGATAGAGTATATCTGGACAATATGAATAAAGATTTGCTTCCATGAATTCCCCATGGGACGAAACGCGTCAACTAAGATAATTTTCCTTTTATCTTTATTTATATTATATATATATATATATATATATATATATATATATATAAGACATGTTTTATTGAATACTGAATGAGGAATAACCAAAACGGAGGTTGGAAATGCAATGGTAATCTTTATAGAATCAACTTAATGCAATACTTGCCAGCGGCGTGAAGTAGGTAAACCAGTGCTAGTAGTGGACTACTTAGACAACATATTACCGCCCCCCACCACTTACAATGGTGTCCAAAGTATTTATGGGGATTGAGACATAACCATCAGTATTCATAGACACGGTATATAACTTTCACTGACAAGCTTCTTGGTATCCTTATTAAGGGAAGAGAGAAAATTGCCATGTTGATACATATTCATTTATTTCGAGTACTTTCGACATAAGGAAAATGTCATCATCAGGTTGTTTTTTTTTCTGAGACAAAAATTATTGTGTTCATCAGTTTTCTAAGACAACCTTTCTATCTGAAAGTTAATTGTTTTTACTAATGAAGTGAAAAACGGTAATGCTATGTACTGTACGGTTTAAATTTCACGATGTAAACGTCAGGGGAGGTAACTAAGTTATGAAATGTCCAAATGTTTACTTTTTTTTAATGAGACATGTCTTAATAAAAACATGCTGCTAAAATAAACGCAATATATATATATATATATATATATTATATATATATATTCAAATTATCGTGGTCCTCTATATAAGGAGCAAACAACCAACACTAAATAAGGTTAGATATGAATATAGAACAATGTTTAT